CTTTAATTCACGAATTTAAACCAGATGGTTCTAATTTTTCCATTCAATTGCTCAAATCTAAAGATTTATTCTAAAAAATTTTGATATGTTAGCAATCGTTCACACCGCGGCCGAGCGAAGGCCTGATGTTGTAGAAAAAAATAGAGAAGTTGCTTTCGAGGTGCTAATAGATGATATTCATGCTGTTTTATGTCATAAGCTGATAAATAAGAATTAATGCATACTTCATTTGTTTATACATCCTTTAGCTCAATGTAAATGTTCCGGAACATCTCGCCACACTTTCGAAAATCCATAACTTTTCATTAATTTATATCTCTACGGACTATGTATTTGATGGAAAAAATCCACCTTATGGTGTGGATGACAAACCGAATCCATTGAATTCTTATGGTATAACATCATTCGCAAATTACAATTTTTTTACTTGATCTAATGAAATTAATTTTTACGCAATCAATCAGGTGAAACCAAATACAGAGGTGAACTCGCAGTTCAAAATGTTAGCCCGAAAGCTATCATCCTACGAGTTCCAATTTTGTAATGTATTTATTAGACGTTATTGTAATAGGTTGACATCCAGCTCATTATAAAATGTTAATTGCATAGGTATGGTGAAGTGGAATATCCCGATGAATCAGCTGTTAATGTTCTAGTGGAATCAGTGAAAGTAAATACCTTATTTATTTACTACTGTATTTTTTTTTTGTTTTATTTATCTGCAAAGTGTATCGTTTTTTTTTTTAATAATTTTTTTTTTTTTCACTAAACAGAATTCTTCAAAAACAATAGAAATGGATCATTATGCGATTAGATACCCTACAAACGGTAAAAAGAAATGATTTACTCTGGATTCTTTATAATTTAATTTAACTTGATTTTCCGATATATTATATTTTAACTTTAGTCCAAGATGTGGCTAGAGTTATCAGGGATATATTAGGTAAAAATGTTCTTGTTGACAAACTCTTGTGTGTGAATACAGTTTTAATTTTAATTATGATTTTATTTTTCTTGTAGAAAAACCGAATTTTCCGAATTCTGGAGTGTTCCATTTCAGCGCCAATGAGAATTTAACAAAGTACCAAATGTGTGGTAA